TATTCAACAAGATTTACATTTAAGAAATTTTGTTTAGAATTATTATTTATATATTATAAAAAAAATATTACCTAAATATACATACACAATTAAATTAAGCCAACTTAAAAAATGATAAAAAGCAAATGAATAGTTTTAACCGATTTTGACGACCATCAACTTCAATAGTTTAATCGACACAATTAAAGGTTAAAATTCAAGAAAAACAAACCAAACCAAAATCAGATCAAATATAACTTTCTCAATATAAGGTGGCACTTCCCTTGTTAATTTCCCTTTCCTCTACAATTGTTCTTTCCCTCCATAATGGTCCATTGATTATTGCAAAACTTGTTTATAAGCATTTTAAGTGCTTAAAATCCTCATCTTCCTCTAAAATATTTTCAAACCCAAAATAAAAAAGGTACTTATAAGCAACCTCTAAAAAAACTTCACTAAACAATCCCTTAATTTTGGTTTTAACAAACTATATTTTTTTGTGCAATATAATACATGTGTCTCTAAAGATATATTTGGTTTTAAGGAAACAAAAAAGAAGAAGATATGTGAATGTTTTAATCAACAAAATATTATTTTTTATAAATATTATAATTTAATTAGTTAAAAAAAATTATTTATCTACTTACATTTTCCGTATACGAAAAATACTTCAAGGATTGGTTTGCCTAATCGACCAAGTTTGCTTTTTGATTTTTTGAATGAGAGGCAATTTGGGGGAAAGGGGCTACAAATGGATCAAACCTGGGCTGGGTGGATCGAACACCCAACGGGTGGGCAACTGGGCAGCCCCTCTATACTCCAGGTTCAAGGGCCACATTTGGATTTTGTTGATGCGTTCACTATGGTATGAGATATGCATCTTCAATGTTTTTTATTCTATTATAAAAAAAATGGGTCAGCCCGACCCAACCTATGTTTCGGCCCATAAGTTTTGATGCTTCTGTCATTCCCGGACAAAAGTATATGACTCTGGATTTTTAAGTTTATGTGCAATAAAAAAAAGGTAAAAAAAATACACGTAAAAATTGTTTAAAGGGGAGAATGTTTGTTAGTCATATTTGTAAAAAAATTAAGTAAAAAAATATTAATTTAAATAATTTAATAATAATCTTATTTTGTTAAAAATAAAATTTTAAATTTAAATTACGTGACAAACAAATAAAAGGATAGAGTAGAATAAGTGATGAAGGAAGAGATGAAGAATTATTTTTTATTACATAATTAAAATAAAAAATAAAAAATATTTTGAAATAATATATTTTTTATAATTTTTCATTTAAAAAATTTAATTTTA